TTCCTATTAAAAAAAATTATATTCTATAATTTCTTATATTATTTACCGTCACATCAACTAAAAGTACTAATATATTTTAGCAAGTATCAATAACCAATTTTTTTTTTATTTAAAAGGTTTTATACTCACAACCATCTTAACTTCTTATTAAGAAATCGTACATGTTATTAATAAATATCTAAAAAGTGCAAAGAAATTACCATAGTGGATAGAAACATTTGAAATTTCAAATACGAAATTAACCATTAATCTAGAATATTGTATATACGCAAATAAAATGTAGAATGTTAAGCATCTTCAACAATTATGCTATAATTTTTTTTAAAATAGAACATGAAAAGTTAAAATCTCTAAAAAATATTAAATTCAACTCCAACAACTACTCTATTTTAGCAATCCAATTATTAAGTATATTATAAAAAAAATTCAATACATTTAATAAAATATTATTTCTCTCTCTCTCCTAAATATTTAATTCCATTGTCTCATATTATAATAGTGAGAAAAAATTAAATATGAGATTTTAGAGATTTCTCATGATTTCGAGATTCATGCCCTCTCTTTCTTCTTTTCTATATCTTAGCATAAATTAGAGTATAGTCGTTGGAGCAAAAATATATACAAAAAATCTCCAAAACCTCTAAGCATAGTTGTTGGAGATGATTTAGTATCTTTGTTTAAATTTCGTTTATGAATAATATGTGTTAATGAATATACATGTTGTAACACCACAACTCCCATTTGTACAAAACAAATAAATTCCATATATCATAAATACAAATATACACATTGGTCACAGATGTACATATATGGCTACATACAAAAGTAGCTACAAATTTTTCGCTCATATAAAGTATATGACTAGTATATAGCAATTCTTAAGTACATGCACATATTCAGTTTCTCAAAAATCCACAGATGTAAAGTAATAATTACCCATTCACATCTTTTCCTTCCCTTTACCTCCCATAGGTGTCTGTCCTGTAATGCACAGTTTTTAAAACAAAACGAGGGTTAGACCATAAAGTCTAGTAAATAATTCTCTTAATTGCTATTACAAGGTGAAAATCATCATAACACTTTTGGAAAACTAATATTTGAAAAGATAATATGCAATTTTCATTTATTTTAACAAACCTTATTTATCGTATCATAAAGATGAGACAACCCCTTTTCATCGCATCAAACTCATAAAATACCAAAACTTGTCGCATAAAATCGATAACACCCCAACTTGTCACATCATTCAGATGCGATAACAACTTTTGTCGCATCCAACAGATGTGATGTAACACCCCCAAAGTCCAAAACAACAAACTGACCCAATAACTTCGAGTCCAACTTAAAATCATGGTGGAAGTTATTGGTAGTCCACTACTTGAGACTTATTAGAAACTAACAATTTTCACCTTATATCCATGTGACACGAGTTGTTACAAACTCCCCCACTTAAGCTTCTAATGTCCTCGTCAGACCTACCCGGAATCTTCCTCCTTGTCATCGGTAATGTAGGATTCGCCTAATATGTTACAAACACCCCCTCTCGAGGACTCATCATACCCGATGAGGTTTGCCCCCACCATCCTGATGGTATAAAGATCGACTCTAATACCATTTGTAACGAACTCGTGCCACATAGATAGAAGGTAAAA